AGTAAATTTGAATTAGCAAGATGAAAGCCAATTCTACATTGTAATTTTATAAGTCCAAAACATTTAGACGACTCCATCAAATGTATAGCTCAGGACTGAGCTATTATCCTTTTGAGACATCTCTGCACACACTCGAATGCTGGCTTTGCTTGTGAAAAGAATTCTTGTTGGCATAAAAAAGATACAGTGGTAAGGGAACTTACCGAGTAGACATTGTAGTTCCATAGCCCAGGATTAATTGCCAATCATGAATCATAGGAAGGGGGTCGAGGAATCAATATTTTACCCAAAAATCCAATAGATGAAACGTTCATGCATGGTCCTGTATGTAACCTTTGTACCTCTCCATAACGCAATATAGCATCACACTAAGCCAGCCAGCAGCAAACAAACCAGCTTTTACCTGTCAAATTCAGGTCCCAGATAAATCCTCCCCTCACTCGCCGTCCGCCCCTGCGTGTCCTCCACATGAGATTAGCAGCAGCCGCATCAAAGTAGTAGCAGTATCAGCATCAATCAACAAACAACAAGAAAGCAGCAGTATAATATGCAACTAACAGGAGCACACCAGCGGCGCACAACATACAGAGCAGTCGTCCCTCTCCCCTGCCCTCCCCGCACCAGCAGCGCACCAGACCATCCTTGTCCTCGTCCATCTCGCCCTGGGAGTCCCGCACCATGCGCTCCCCGACCAGCGCCTCCTTTGCCAAACGCCGCCCACTCCCGCGAACGTCCGCGCCCTATCTCCTCTTCATCGGAGAAACCAACAGCACAGCCTCCTGCCGTGCCTCCCCCTCATTTCTCTCCTTCCTCCCGGTTTTCTCTCTCCCTCTCTCTCGTCCTCCCTCCTTTTCTTTCAGGAGCACGCCGGAGCAACCGTGGTGCCGCCCGGGTGAACCCCGATGCCTTGTTAGTCCCGCCGCCGCTCGCCTGGATCCGGCCGCCTCGGAAGTTCCGCGCGTCCAGCCCGTCAGCCATCACTCTCCGCAGACCTCACTCGACTGGATCGAGCAGGAGATCGCCTGCCGCCCCGCACGCTCATTGACCGCCTCGATCTGGATCGATCGGGGAGGAGACCCTGATGAGTTGACCCTGCTCAAATTAGCCACAAAAGGAAAAAAATCGTGGGTTGAATCCTCTAAAATGCAGGGTCTTTTTTGTAAAAACGAAACGTTTGCTCAGTTTAGCCACTTAAAAGAGGAGTGCGGGTTGAATTCTCAAAACCGAAGGGGCTTTTCTGCATAAATTCCGACGACGTACGACCAGAAGCAACGCGTAGTTTATTAATAGAGAGAAGAGATATATCTTTACCTAGTACATCGTGGCAGTTTTGCGAAAAAGTCCCCGCGTTTCTGAGAAATTAACCCGCAATCCTCGTCATAAGTCATCCCCGAACCAGTAGGAAGGAGACAAAATAAAAAAGAATAGCGCAGCCACCCGCAGTCCCGCGCGACCTTGCCTCCTCGATCCCATCTCGACATCCATCCCGCCGCCACCTCCTGCCCCGCCCCGCCGTGCGCCGCCCGCCGCCGCCGCGCCTGCGCCGACGTCCCCTGTATCCATGCTCCTCTGTCCGAATCCCGCCGCCGCGCCCGTCCCGCTCACCGTGGCTGATGATCGTTTCCCTCCCCAAACGGCGGCCATAATGAAGGGCGTCGCCCAGCTCCTGACCGGCGGACGGACTCGCCGGGTCCCCGCTCCTCGGGGCCAGCCCCTCCTCCGTGGATCGCGCATCGTCTTGGAGGCCCCTCGGGGCTGCCGCCGGTGCGGGAGTTCCTGCGCGGCCGTGTGGGCTGGGGACCGAGCGGCGGGGCCCGTGTGCGTTCCCGGCGAAGGCTTGCTGGGGCTGGCCGGGATCTGAGGTTGGTTGATATGTTCATGTAAAGATTGACACTCCTTCTTTTTCGTTTTTATCTTCTTCCCAGTTCACGTGCAGGGACTAGATTGCTGGCTAGATCTTCCTAACTGAACCACTTGATGTTAAACTCTGTACGTGTATAGCTAGATTGCCTGCTAGATCTTGCTTTATAAATTATTCATTGCCTTCCATACAAAGGTTCTGGTTTTGACTTTTGTTTCAGATATTAATTTTTGTTCTAGCTCTTTTTTGTACAGACAATGTGTGTGCTGTTTAAACGATGATTATGACATTGCGAGGCCTGGTACAGATTGTATTTATAATGTATTTATTTCCAGTTTTGGTTAAGAGTTGTTACTTGATACAACGTGCTTTTCAATTGCAGGTCCATGATGCAGTTCCACCTCTCTCCGTAGCACAAAACCTTTCTTGCCACACATTATGCAAGTCATCCTCATTGATCATACATTTATAATTTCTTCACGGTTCAGTATATCACATATATTAGGATGTTAA